TGCTAAGGTAAGGTAACTTTGCCTCTACTTTCACCATTTACACAAGTTTTACAGGATTTATGTACAGGGAGTAATGTAGATCCTAATGGTAATGTTAACTTTTTAAAACATATTCAAAATTATAATGCCTGTCTTTCTTTTGCTTCTTTTATAGCAGATGGATGTGGTTCAACCAATAAATCATGGGCCTCCATGTTTTAAAATGTGGCCAGATTTATCATCGTGTAGGTAATCTTAGGCCAAATAAAGATATTCTACCAATATATTCTCAACTATATATTTATGATCCACTTGCAGCATTAAATTTTAGAATGCAACAACGTAGTAATGGTCTTTGTTTAGGTGATTTAATGTTTCAATGGCAAACTATAATAACTGAACAAAATCCATTTGCTCTTGCATTTAAAAACATGGCTGAAGTAGAAGATGAAGAAGTTCGTCAAGCAGCTATAGAGGGTCGCTCAGTCTCAGTTGTAAAAATGTCTTTACTTGAAGGGGGTGATAGACGTTGCCATAATCTACCTTCATATGATGAAGTTGCTGTTGTATTTGTTGGTGAAGATGGCACTCCTCCAACTTCCAGGGAAGTTGTTATTTATCCAAGAGGTCATCCTTTAATAATTGTATCAAGTATGTGAGCCAACTTAGATCCTATGGTTTATCCTCTCTTTATCCCAGAAGGTGATGCTCGGCATGATGATGATGGTCGGCATAATCAGTTGGTGCATAACCCTGAGCGTGCCACACTGGTTAGAAATCATGTTACATTATTTTAGTTCTACAATTATAGACTTTCTGTTAGGCAATTTTTCTGTTCATTATTTTATGGCAAGATACTATTTCAGCAATATGCTGTTGATGCAAATGTCAAAATTGAAGGCCAGCGTTTAGCTTTTATCAGAAATAACCAAAACAAACTTAGAAGCGAGCCGTATGATGCCTTACATGAACATGTTAACAACATTGCGAACGATCATAATATTTGACCAGGGCGAGTTGTAGTTTTGCCGTCATCTCATGTAGGAAACCCTAGAGCTTTAATAGAAAACTTTTAAGATGCTATTGCAATTTTTAAAAAGTATAGTAAATCTTTTGATTACTTTTACTTGCAACCCAAAATGGCGTGAAATAACAGAAAATTTATAACCTGGTCAGACTGCGAATGATAGACCTGATTTGGATACTAGAGTATTGAAACTCAAGTTAAATAACCTCCTCAATGATATATTCAAACATGGTGTATTGGGCAAAGTTGTAACGCATGTTTAGGTTATTGAGTTTCAAAAGTGGTTTGCCGCATGCACACATTTTACTTTATTTAGCCGATGATAAACTTGAAACAGCACAGGATATCAATAATTTAATATGCACAGAAGTTCCAGATCCGATTGTTAATCATGAACCATGTGGGATACTGAATCCTAATTCTTCCTGCATAAAAAATGGGGTCTGCAGCAAAAATTATCCTAAAGAATTTAGTGACTACACAATTGCCGTTCTCAATGGTTATCCACGATATAGGCGTCGTGATAATGGGTTGGTTATCAATATTAAAGACAACAATCTAAGAAATATCAAGCCCACATTAATGATGAAGCTTGCATGTCTGTAAAGGCTGTTTAATATTTGTACAAATATATATATACAAAGGGCATGATTGTGCAAAGGTTTTGATAAATGAGCAGGTTGATCACGATGAAGTAAACACTTTTTTAGATTGCTGTTATGTTAGTGCACCTGAGGCACTGTGGCTAATATTTGAGTATCCCATAAGTCATATGTCACACACTATTATCCGTCTTGAGGTTCATCTTCCTTAGAATCAGATTGTGTATTTTAGAGAAGGAGAAGGACAAGTGGCTTAAGATCGTGCTCCTCAATGCGATACACACCTTACGGCATGGTTCAAATTGAATTCTGAAAATGAAGGAGCGCATCGCTATTCATATGTTGACAATTCCATATTACTTTGTCTTTGATGATAAACATTGTAAATGGAAGGTTAGACAAAGAGATGGAAATAAAATGATAGTAAGAATGTATAAAGTTAGTCCAACAGGAGACTTATTTTCTTAGATTGTTACTTTTGCAGGCAAAAGGAGCAACATCTTGGGAGGATTTGCGTACTGTTTATGGAATAGTTCTTGAAACTTTTCTTGAAGCATGTGTTTTAAAGAAAGAAAAAACTCCCGACACATGTTGTGTTCATATTCAAGATAATGTCAAAAAAAAAAGGTTTGAACCAAATTTTTTTGATTCAAAATAAATAATGAATGCGTACCGAGAAAAACTAGCGTTGTTGTTTTAGCCGAAGCTCGGCTTCTCCATTTTTTTTAATAACTCGAAGTCTTTAAATTATACGTCGCAATAAACAGACTTTGGCGATTCCTTTGAAGCGTGTTTAATTCAAAAGTTTTATGAATTAAACACGCTTCAAAGGAATCGCCAAAAGTATTTGACATCACGGTAAACCTTTAACAAATGAAACTCTGGAAATATTTTTATTTATCTTTATTTGAACTTTTTTTGATTATTTGTTTTTTTTCTATTTTTAAAATTTAGAAAGATATTAAAAACCTCAAATATTTTATGCTGGTTCGTTGCTATAAACTGTTATTACGCCATATATTTAATGTTTATAAATTATGAATATTTATTATCTCCATCAAGACTCTGATAAAAAATTGTTTTAGATTAATTACCCTTATAAAATTGGTTTTTATTTGGAAAGATAATATTTCGTCTCAACTTGCTTTGCATGAAGTTCGGGATGTCAAGCGAAAAAAATTAGTTTGAATAATCACTTTGAAAAATATTTTAAACAAATTATTTTAATGACGGGGGTTTAAAAGTTTTTAATAACAAATGCAGGTCAAAAATAAATAATTAAATAAAAAGTTTAACATTAAACATCATTTCTTTATTATATTGTTACTGTAAATATTGAAATATTAACTTGAACTAAATTTACTTTATATTTAGAACGACTAAGCAATAAAAATAAAAAGCCCCTATAATTATGCGATATTGTAATGTTTATTTGATTACAGCTGTTGGTAATGTTGTTTATGTTGATTATTTTCATAAATATCAAAATAGTCCCAGATTAATCTGTTAGTTTCTTTGTTCATTGTTGCTTTATTTCTCATTTAATTTTTTCTCTTAATATAAATTTATTTTCAGAAAGAAAAGTTGTTATTTTATCGCTCGCTCTTTTTATAAAAGAGTCGAACAAAAGAGAAAGAAAAGTTTCGCGTAATTAAACTTCGAATGAATAAAAGAGTTGTATAGAATATATATATATATATATATATATATATATTATATATATATATATATATATATATATATATATATATATAAATATATATTTTTTTTTTTTTTTTTGCGTCACTCGTTCTTTATATAGATAAGATAAATAAAAGTTTAACAGTAACTTTTCTTTGAATAAATGAAAATTGGAAGAGAAAATTGCTTGAAAATTTATTTTTTGTTGTGATTAAATTTTTTTAAACTTTTCATGTTAAGAGACAAGTGCCAAACAAAATTACGAAACAAATTGGGAAATAACAAATATAATAAGTTTTATAACGCGCGTTATGACATTTTGACAATTTAAATTACCATTTATCTTGAATTACTGCCATTAATTAATGTGTTGCGTAATATAAAATATTTTGTTCGTATTTTTGTTAAATATTAGTTGTATAAAAACGGGCGTAAATATACAAACTTCATGTTTTTATTTGATGGTTATAAAATATTGAACAGTAAACTAATATAAAATTTATAATGCCGACTTGTGTTGTTATTAATTGTACTTTTAATGCAAAACCAAGATCTCACATATCCTTTCACGAATTTGCATATCTGATACTACTGTCAACTGTATTGTTTAGTGTATTCTTGTACATTTTTTTTATAACCTTGACAGGGTCTAATTGGTATGGAGTTGCCGACATATTAAAAGTTTCATTATCAAAAATCAAATGTAAAATAAAATAATATTTCCTTTTTATCCGTATCAAATTTAGCAAATTTAGCAATTAAAAATAAATCAGCGTAATCAAAAAAAATTTAAAATAAAAAGTTTATGAGTTTATGTCAGTTTATGAAATTATTTGTCAATTCTTTTTTTCGACGGGAAAAAAAAATATCAAAGCGTAAAAATAACCAGAGAAGTTAGAAAAACCCATTGTTTCTCCCATTGTTTAAATAAAAATAAGTAAGATTCAGAATATATAATACTGCGCTCTCTTGCACAAAAACTAGAGATCGTATACATAACGTTCTGTATAATGTAAAACACTCGTATGAAAATCATAAGATTTGTAAGTAAAGCTTTAATATTTGTTTCAATTTAAAAACAAAAGAAATATAAGTAAGATAAATAAATCTAAAAAATATTAAGATATCGGTTAAAAAATGTTCTTTTAATGAAATAAAAAGCTTTTATTATTTTTGATTTTTACAAAAATTTGTTGTAAAAGTTGTTTTACTGTTTGTTAAAAAATTTCTTTTGAGTTAAAATAGAAAAAAGCAGCTTTGCTTAATTACACTTTTCTTTTGTTAAAAATCTACCGTGACGTCAAGTACTGAAACCTTTATGAATTAAACGCGCTTCAAAGGAATCGCCAAAGTCTGTTTATTGCGACGTATAAACTAAAGACTCCGAGTTATTGAAAAAAACAAAGAAGGCAAGCTTCGGCTAAAACGACAACGTTAGTTTTTCTCGGTATGCATTCATTATTTAATCTTAATCAAAAAAACTTGGTTCAAACCTTTTTTTTTAACATTATCTTTAATATGAACCCAACATGTGTTGGGAGTTTGGGATCCCATAAAAAGGTTTGTTGCAAGATGCTACTGAATGGCAGAATTCTCTTTCCGAGGCAGTTTTAACGCGAATGCCTGAGCAAATTAGACAGCTATTTTCAATTATTTTAACTTTATGTGAACCTGACGACCCTTTGTATCTTTGAAATACATACAAAACTTTTATGATAGAGGATTTCATTCATCGCCATATCCTGTTTATATTAGCTGAACAAGCAAATTTTCGTCAAATCGTAAAGATTATTAATCAAAGTGGTAAAACGCAATCAAATTATAATTTGCCTGTTGTTGATGAACTCATAGATTTTTATCAAGAAAATTTAAATGATAATGTACAGCAATCAATTGAAGAAGCTAATAGAATGAGACCGCTTCCAAATGTCAATCAATTAAATGTAAGTAATGCTGTCCTTGCTGCATTGAACGAGCAACCAAGTGTAGAAAATCAACATTCCAGATTGTTTATTATGGATGGACAAGCGGGTAGTGGCAAAACTTTTACATATAATTATTTGATTGGTGAAACGAACAGTAGGGGTGTTAAACCTGCTACAGCTGCATGGACTGGCATAGCAGCAACTCTTTTAACAAATGGGTCTACGCTGCACGGCTTATTTAAACTTCCTGTCTTAATACTGGATAACAGCACATGTAATGTGAAACCTAACTCTATTCAGAAAAAATTTTTAAGGCAAGTTAACTAACTTTGTTTATGCTTGACGAGACATCCATGATTCCCAAACATGCTTTAAATGCAATCGATCAGTTGTTAAAAGATGTTTGCAACAACTTTCCGTTTGGTAGAAAAGTCATTTTTTTTGGTGGGGATTGTATTGCCAGTTGTGAAAAGAGGACGACCAGCTGAAGTTGTAGAATCATGTATAAAATGTTCTTTACAATGGCAACTCGTCATAAAACTTAGGAAACTGATACGGTTTAAAGCTATATTTGAACATCTGTTTAGCAATTTTAGCCTCTTTGATATAAGGAATCTCCTTAGGATCATACAAATCAACTTCGCCAGGTTTGAGTCTCATATAATCAGGTAAATCATCCTGGACACAGGTTGATAATCAGGATTATAATTCCATCCTTCTATACTTTTTGACACTGTAGTCATATCAGTTAAATTACCACTCTTCGTAGAATTAGATATAACTAAACTAGTATTACTTTTACTACTACGAGAGCAATCGGAATCGGAATAAAACATATCTTCAAATATATTAGTATGTCTTGTGTTACCCATTTCCTTAAGAGCTATATATTCCGTCTTACGAATATTATTCTTTGGTAACATAGCCGATTTTAATATTTCACGAACATTAGGCATATGCATATATGGTACCGTTTCATTAGCAAAATTAGCAACAACCTTCACATTTTTCACAGCATTTACCACAGTTTCAGGATTAATAGCACCTGTTAACCCGGCAGATTCATTAATAGCACCTGTTACGACAGATTCAGCAATTTGAGAAGCTTGCTTATTATGAAAATTCTTTTAGTTTACACCAAATATTTGATTATCCCATCCAGGTGCAACTTGCAACGGGTTAACTTTGTTCTGTTTAAACTGAGCTTGATACTTGTTGAAACCTTGGGATATTTGAAAGTAATAATCGTCGCCCATCTGAAAATTAAAATGTTTCAGAACATCCACATAAATTCCAAATGTTACATGCAAATAAATTATGATCCACGCATTCATCGTATAACGATTTGCAAGCTGTACGGCCACACCAATCGCAATGGACAACCGATATCAACGCTAATAACATTAAAAACATATAACTAACAATTTAAAACATAAAAAACTCTTATAAACTTTAAAACATAAAAAACTATTATATACACACCCTAATCAGATTAGCCACCCATAATATAACAAAACATTTATAAATTCTTAGTTAACCAACCACCCACCATCCATATATAACTATGAGATAAATTGCCATTTTTTGCTAATAGAAACCATCCCACCGACCACGTGGGATCCCATGTGGTCAGTGGGATGGTTTCTATTAAAAAATATATATATATATAAATATATATATACATATATATTTATATGTATAAATATAAATATATATATATATATATATATGTATATATATATATATATATATATATATATATATATATATATATATATATATATATATATATATATATATATATATATATATATATATAATCACAGGGGTGGCGTAACAATAGGGACTGCAGGGGCCTGTTTTATTTTAAAAATGCAGTCTCAATCTCCTTCCCCCCTTTATTCCTCATACACACTTTGTAAGTTTTAATTAATTATTATTATTTTAATAATTATTTTAAAGTATTTGATCTAGATTTAAACTAATCTTTGCACCGCTGAAGGGCAATCAGCATTTTGTATTTGAAATAATAAATTAACGTGCTTACGCCGAATAATATTTTACAAGCTGCAAAAATATTATTTTAAAACTACAAATCTTCTTATTTAAAATGTTTTATTTTATATCAAATTAAGTCTTCTATTTTATTATTTCAATGAGCAACTAGTGTTTTGTATTTGTGATATTGACTTAATATATATATATATATATATATATATATATATATATATATATATATATATATATATATATATATATATATATATAACAAGGACATTTTTACAATTATTCTGAACAACTATTTAACTAAATTGTAACAAGCTATTCTAAGAACTTGTATTTTCTTAAAACTTTAAATTTCATGACAAAACCGTCATATCTAAATACGGAAACTGAATTCTCCCTTTGAAAATACTTAATTCTTCCTTTGTACTATTTCTCTTTAAATTCACCTGTATTAATAAAGGAATTCAATTAAGAAATAAGAAACAATAATGACAACTTTTCACATGCTTCGAATGGCAAGCTAAAAAAGCAGTAAGTAATTCTGCCGATATTGAAGCACTCTGTATATATATAAACAGAGGATAACAAAAGTGTTTGTACAGCGAAATATTTTATACTAATTTTCTTATTTAAAATACTTAACCGTATTTATTACTAAAAATTTTTGTTGATATTGCTTTAACTGAAACAAAAGAAATAAAACTTAATTTAAAGAAAGTTACGTCAAAAATTTATATATGTTTTTGATGTTTTTGATATGTCGTTCGACCCCCTTATCTGTTGTTAATGTTTACATTAGCTTTCTATTTTCAATGTTTTTGTTTTTAGCGGAAATAAAAAGGTCATTTTTAAACCTAATAGGACATTTCGTGCAATAAAAAATTGGTAATTTTGAAATGAAGCTAACTAGAAAAGAGTAGCTAGAAGTGATGAAGAATTGTGTTTTTTCTTACTTTCAAAATGGGAAATCGCTGTCACAGATAAAAGAAATGCATTGTATGCCAAAATCCATGGTTCAGTCTATCATTACATAATTTTCTACTGACGTCAATAAAAAATAAAATAAACCAAGAACTGTCCACCCTAAAAGTTCTTTTGGAAGGAACTGAGAATTGGTTGGTACGAAAATTTAAGATGCAGCCAAAGCTGAGCTGAATTTAAAGCTGAGCGCTCTAAATTCACTAAGGATATAGAGCTTGATCTAGGATAAACTGTAAGTGTGCAAACAGTGAGACAATGTTTAAAAAAAAAACAAAATTTTCATGGAAAGCGAGAAAGAGGAATCATAACGACGTTTAGAAATTGCTAAAAAGTATGTTGCGATGCCTAAAGAGTTCTAAGAGACTGTAATTTTTGCTGATGAGAACAAATTTAATTTGTATGTCATTGTTTGGAGAAGACCAAATACAGAGTAAAAAGAGCAAAATATAGAAGCAACAGTCAACACAGCGGGGGCGGTGTCATGGAGGCTCCTGGGTTTGGTAACATTTTATAAAATTATTAACGCCCGTGTTTATATTGATGTTCTAAAACAAAACTGAAACCTGCAATAAAGCTGAAAAATTGGGGTTAACTAGTGTTTATAAGTACTACCAGGATAACGATTGCTTTTATGTAATTTTAATGTTTATTTAGCTGCAGCATCATCTGCTACAACAAAAAAGATGTTGTACTCACTCATACTTGATTAGTTGTTTTTATTATTATCATTTTTTTTTTATTAAGTTTTTTTATAAGTATCTTCCCTGTAAATAATTTTATATATATATATATATATATATATATATATATATATATATATATATATATATATATATATATATATATATATATATATATATATATATATATATATACGAATGTATACTTTAAAAAAATTAAATGTTCATATATATCATTTAAATTGGACACTTTTAATAACAATGATGACATTAAAAGTAATAAATATTTAATAAAGTTGCTAATCATCTTAAAATTTTACAAATGTTATATTGGGTTTAGTGTTATTATGTGTGTGCTGTTAGTAGTAGCATTATTATCAGTAAACTGGTTAGCAAAAAAGTTCGCATTTTAATTAATACCAAAACTTTAAACTCATTTATTTTTTGCCGTTTACTAATATAAATTAAAATAAAAAGACTAAATAAAAAACAAGTTTAGAAATAGTCGGGTGTGAAACAGACTTATTAGAACCCGTATCGTTTGGGTCATGACAGCCAGTATAATTTATATTAACTCATACTTACAATACTAATAAAATATTTTTTGATGTAAACTATATCTTTTTTAACCTTTAATTATAAAACTAATTATAATTTAACTTGATAACTTTTACATAAATAACGATAACTAACAGAAGATAATAGCTTTTATATATATCATGATCATATGATTATTTATTATAACTGAGTTAAGTTAAAGACCGTTTTTGTTTTTCATTACAAATTTTAAAATGTTGGAATAAAAATATTATTTTCCAAGCTGAAGGAACAAAAACAGGTCCCATGACTCGTATTTTAAGTATATCTTGTATTTTGCAGCATGTTTTAGAATATTTCTGCTTGATGCGCACTGATTGTTGTCAATATACTCATATGAGCATTTGTTATAAATATTAGTAATAACAGGTTAGTAAATATAATCAAAACAATAATGACAATAGCCTTTGTTTATTAGAATTAGTAGGAGACTTATGTGCGATAGAATTGCATAAACTTTGATGACAAATTTTTTATTCTTTAATGTCAATTTAGCATTGTTTTTTGCATCAAGTACTGGTTTCACACACGGATAAATGCTTATCCGTGCGTGAAAATTATTTTCTTTAGCTTAATGTTTAAACCGCATTTGAGCTGATGATTTAGTTTAAGTTAAGTTAAGTTAGATTGATTTAATTAGCTTAGATGCTTGGTAGAATGAACAAAAGTAGTTTAAACAAGGTCAGGGTTAGGGTAATTCAGTAGTTTAAAAAAAATTTAGAAAGAAACGTCCAAAGAAATATCGGATTGTTGAAACTAATTTTCAAAAGGAGGAAGTCCATCAAAAAGATCGCGAAAGATCATCTCATATATTCATTTAGATCATTTTGATTACAAACAAGTGTATTACCGCAAACCATTATGAGATCGATCAGACGCTTTTCAAAAATAAATTTAAAGTCAATGTTTATTCATCTTTTCTTTTTAATATTAATGGTGCTTTTAAGTAAATGTAAGCAATCAAAAATAGTAAAAAATTGCATAGAAAGCATTACCTTCAATATTGGTAAATGATAAATATTATTTCCATCTGAAATGCAAAAAATTTAGTACTATTTCATC